AATGTCAACAAAAGACCAAAGTGAACACCATCTGCCTCTCGGTACATTAAGATGTCCCTTCTGTCTGCAAAAAAATGGGTGCAAAGATTGTGTGTTAACTTCATTTAATTTTATATTTTATTGCTATTTATACATAAAAAAGCATATTTTTAATTGGTACGAAGAAACAGGCAACTGAAATATTGGAAAGATGTCCTTTCTGTCTGCGTCATGCGGCTACAGGCCCAACTGAAGACAAAAATGGGTTCTAAAAATACTTCAGGTATTTTTAATAAGGGTAAAATAATTTCCTGAAACACAGTCATACAATGAAAACTATTTTCCATGTATGGTCTAGTGAGTACGGCTATGAAGTCCATTTATTATTTTTAATGCTGCTTTGGCACAAGAGTATTACAATTTTGTTGTATGTTCATCACATAGTGAGAATGAAATTCTTCTTTTTCTACAATCTGTGTGTTTATGGTAACGAAAACAGATGTCAGCTTGTTCAGTGATGTAGCTCAGTGATGTTTAATTAATTAGATAAATATACAACTACAGTAATACAACTGCATAAGATTTACATAGCCTATTTAACATGATCTACAAACCACATAAAGACTAAATGTAGCTTTTCAGTCAGATTTCTGTCTGCTCTGTTATCCAGCTGGCAAATCATCTCTGTTGGCAACAAGATGAAAACAGAGCAATTAAATCTGTCTTTTAGAGGCAGTGATTATAATTATGAACATCAGTCACAACCAGCTCTTGTATTAACTCTGTGGGAGTACACAGTGAAAAATTCTGAAAGTCTTCCTGTGGTTTGTGCATTAATATTCCATGGGGGGCGCTGTGTCCTGCTATACCGTGTGTTGTGGGCAGTATAAATGTTACACTGTGGGGTGTCAAGGTATGTGTATGTGTATGGCTGTTGTGAGAGTGCCCTTTAAGTCTTCAGTTAACAAAGAACAGTGACATTCACAGATTAGCTGGGTCGATACAACATTATAAATACATGAAAGCCCCGCTTTACATACACAGCTTTTTTCAAATACATTCTAATAAACACAGTTGGGAGCTGGCACTTTCACGTTTCCTGAGAAAACATTTGAGGCAGAAGCACATGTGAGATTGTTGTTTCCTGCCTAGATAGAAGACTTGGTTTCTAAAGCGCAACCCAGAAGTTTGTGGCTTTGTTTCTGCTAAGTTAGCGCCCCTCACAAGCCGGTAGTTCAGCCAGTTATACTTAATCTCTGATCGCTTCTCAGATAAGTGTGGTCAAAACCTCTCTGCATGAGTCATATAGTGCACATTGCATGAGATGAAATATTAATAATGTTCTGCCGTAATATTTCAGGTGTTGAGTGGGTGGAACACCTGGTGGTGAACACATTTCATACCCATTCAAGTAACTTTTCTTTTTTGGGTTATTGATATTTAAATAAGACAGCAAATAATGTCAAAAGCTATTTGTCTCTTTTGTTTATATATTTGTGTGTCTAATTATTGTGTCTTACTGAACCTGACAGCGATGAAAAGGGGTACAACAGACATTTCTCTAATGTACATACATATTTTCCACACATACTTTACATTAATATATTTTCTCTGTATATTTCTGAGCTGTACATAGATATGCTATAGCTTGAGAGAGTTGCAATATATGTATGTAAGTACTACTATCCCTGAGCTATTTTGTAACTTCATCTTAATATTGTGAATTAAGTTCTGTAAAATTAATTATTAATTAAAAACATGCACAGACACAAAATAATAATAATTTACTGTTAAAAGCAAAAAACAAACTAAAACCTTGATTCCTTATACCAACAAAATTAACACAAGTTACAACTCAGCTGCAAACAATCCAGACTCCAGTGTTTACTCATACATACAAAATACACAAACCCATATTTTCTTGTACACATGATTTGAAATATAAATATTAGTTTATTATATTTATGATTGATGATGAGTTTTCTTTAAATTCTTTTATTGTAATGCAAACATTTTAAAATCCAGTCTATGTAAATGCATTCCATGATTTGATCATAATTTCTATGCATCTGTTCAAAAATAGCCCCAACCCATACTTTTTAACAATAGGAAGGTATTTCTAAAACATGCACCGAGGTTAAAATTGAACAAATATTTATAAATTACAGAATATGTCATTAAAATCATGTCAAATCAAGCATTTTAAAAGGATCTTAATTAAACATGGTCTCATCCTTTAAACAAAAGGTGGTAAGTGATGAAAAAAATCTAGATACAAACATAACATCTTACAAACACTTGTACATACCTGAGGTCCTGGAATATTTCCATTTTATGTAACTTTTTACTCCAATGTATTTTACATTAATTCCTTCTGATAAGTACTTATTTCCTTCCTACCAGTGGAGAACCATCCTTTTTGAATTATGAAATCAATGTTATCATTTTTTTTAATATAAAAACAGCTCATATAGTTATTTTTAGTGTCAAAATGAAAAGTGGCCCTGTGGTTTCATTCAGGATCAGTGATTCCATTAAGGCAGATGCTGCCCAGGACATATGATAAATTGTTCACTACAATGACAATTTTCATTTAATTTTATCTGTGTTTTGTTGTATCTCGATTGTTTTCTTGCTATAAAAATTTAAAATAAAATTATCTGTATCTGTAAATATGCCTATTTTCTATCAGTGTGTCTATGAATAGTGAGTTACATCTGAGTTATTTGGTTAAAAATGCATGTTTGTTTTTAACACTTTATTTTCCTGTTATTGAAGAAACCAGGCTTTTTGAGTGTTTTATACATTGTAGGG